AAATCCTTCTATTAATATATGCATATGTTTTTGTATGGATATTTGTCTTAGTATTTCTTGGGTATTCACTTAGAAGTGAAATTACTAGGGTGTATGGTAACTATTTTAACATTGCTTGATTTGTAACTACTGAACCAGACTGGTATCCCTGGAAAAAGCCCTGCTTGATCTTAATGTATAATTCTTTCTGTATAAAGCCACTTCAAAAAATTCATGGGAAATGGATTTAAAAGATGTGTTGGTTTTGGTCCAAACATTTTTTGAAATACATGCATAAGAGGAGTCTTCAAAAAGTTCATGAAAATACATATCATTAAAAAACTATGCATGGATTTCAAAAAGTTTTTGCACCAAAATAGACTTATCTTTTAATTCAATTTTCTTAAGTTTTTGAGGTACCTTCTGCATATTCCTGAATGTTTTTTTGTCACTGTAGTGTTAACAATTTTTGCATCCCATTCATGTGAGATATTGACCTGTAGCTTTTTTATCCTGTACTGTTTTTGTCTAATTTTGGTGTTAGGGTAATGGATTTATAAGACTAATTGGGAAGTATAGACTTCATTTTCTGATTACTGGAAGAGATTGAATAGAATCTATGTTAATTATTCTTTAAATGTTTGGTAGAATTCTCCAGTGAAACATCTGGGCCTGGAGGTTTATTTTTAAAAAATAAAAAAATTCAATTTAATTAAGTTATAGGGGTATTCAAATTATCTATTTTACAGTGGGTGAGTTGTACTAGTTTTTGCGTTTTAAGGAATTGGTCCCTTTTTTTTTAATGGCGAGGAAGGAAAAAGAGAATAAGAGAGAGGAGAGAAGAGATAGAGAGGAGAGAAGAGAGAGAGAGGAGAGAGGAGCCAAGAGAGAGGAGAGAGAGCAGAGAGAAGAGAGAAGAGAGAAAGGAGAGGAGCTAGCGAGGAGAAAAGAGAGAGAACCAGAGATGAGCGAGAGAGCAGAGAGAGAGCCATGTGTTCAGGAACAGGTCCTTTAAAAACTTTGCCAGAGGGCAGTCAGGGAAGTAGGAGCAGCAAATCCCATTAGGATGGGTGTGGAGTTTGACACTGGTGGTTGGGCCATGTGGCCAGCTGGCTTCCAGCAACGGCGATGGGGGAGAGGTGGCTAGGGCTTAGGATGGTGTCAGGGTGTAGATAAAACTGAGCCATTTTCCTAACATTTCCCCCTTTTGTTTTTTATAAAGCAGGAGTTGTATGGGATTAAATTAGTCCCTAAAGTCCAGGACGGGTAGAAGGATGAAGATATATCTTTAGAGCTACTTCCTGCTAACAAGGGGCGATGAGGTACTCTTCACTGGCATGGGGTGATGTCTCAAGCCACTGTCTCCTGGGTGGGGAGCCGAGTGTATCCCTGTAGCTGCATTTGGTTGACCGCCTGGTTGCTGAAGGCCTTGGTTCGTTCCATTATCACCTGCTGTAAACACTTATATAGACACTGTAGTATAAAAGACAGGGTGAGAATAGCAACCAATAGCAACCACTCCTAAGAGTGGTATTAACCAGGTAATGAGAGGACTTCATAAAGGAGAGGAAATGAGGGGGAGACTCTGGACCCTTGTGAGGGCTGTTTGATGGACATGGTTTAAAGATGATTCCAACCAAGACCAGGAGAAGGGCCACTCAAGTGCAAAGTTATTTGTAATATATCCCTATTATCCTTTTGATATCTTCAGGGTCTGTAGTGATATTCCTTGCATCATTTCTGATGCTCATAAGTTGTATTCTCTTTGTTTTCTTTGTCAGTATTGCTAGAGGTTTGTCAATTTTATTGGTATTTTCAAAGAACCAGTTCTTTGTTTCTCAATTTTTCCATTTCATTGATTTTTACTCTTATTTTATTACCTCTGTTTACTTTTTATTTTGCTCTTCTTTTTCTAAATTCTTGAGATGGATGCTGAGATTATTGTTTTGAGACTTTTCCTCCTTTATAAAATGAACACTTAGTGCTGTAAATGCTCCCCACATAACTGCTTTAGCAGTGCTCTTCAAATTTTGATGTGTTGTATTTCCATTTCCATTCAATGTGATTTTTGATGTCCTCTGAGATTTCCCCTTTGACTCCTAGATTATTTAGAAAGTGTTTTTAATTTCCTTGGGTCTTTCTGTTATTGATTTCTAATAGTATTCCATTGTGTTTACATAACATATTCTGTATGACTTATTTGTCTAGTTGTTTTATAAATTACTGAGAGAAAAATATTGACATTTTCAACTATAAATGTCTCTTTTTCCTTTTATTTTCATTAGTTTTTGCATCATGTATTTTGAAGCTCTGTTTGGTACATACACATTTAGAATTTCTATGTCTTTTTGGTAGATTGACCCTTTTCTCATTATATAGTCTCTCTCTCTTTTTCACTGATCTACTTTGCTCTGACTTCTGCTATACCTTATATCAATATAACCCCTTCTACTTTCTTTGGATTAATGCTTGGATGGTATATCTTTTCTCTACTTTTTACTTTCAGCCTATCTGTATTGTTATTGCTGAAGTGAATTGCTTGTAGCTTCCTCGTAACTGGGTAATTTTAAAAACTACTCTGCCACACTCTTTTAGTTGGTGCACTCAGACCATTTACATAAGATGAATTTTTGGCTGAGATGGGGCTGGGCACCTCGTGTAGACTCCTGTGTCACCATTAGAGGGCGTGGCTTCATTACCACTGAGCATCTGTGCAGCCCTGGCCTTTCACTTGGCCTTCTCTGATAACCACATCACAAAGGGGAGTGGTGCCTTTTGCTGCAGGATGGAAATAAAGCCCAGGCTCCCCGTGTGTTTGTCTCTACTGACACATGGTAGGGGCAGGATGTGTAGGAAAGAGGTGGGACTCTCCAGCACCCAGCAGAGAGGAATGTTTAAGTTCCCTTCTCTGATGCCACCCCAGTGGGGAGCAGAGGCCTGGAGCACCTCATTACAGCTTTAGATTATGCTCAGTCAGCCTATACTGTCCTGGGTGGATGTGGGTCTGCAGTGTTTGGCTGCAGTCAAATAGTTATCGTCCACACATTTTCTGTCTTGCAGCTGCCCCTTCCTGGTCGTTTGGCTAGAAAACAGGCTTCCTTAGGGCTTTGTCTGTACCTGTTGGTGTTTGCAGATTGCTGGCTTCTTTAGCTCCCTGTCTGGCTTTATATAAAGCAGAAGGAAAACACAGGGAATGCACTGCTGTGTGCTCCTTTGGATCCCTAATTAACCTGCTTTCGCTCTACCTTTCAGAGTCTTGTGTTGTTTTATATGAAATGTCAGGCTTTTAGTTGTCCCTTGCAGGAGGAATAGGACAAAGTGGGTCTGTCCTATCTTCCAGGGAGCAGAAGCGCTGAGATGTGTTTCTGAGTGCTGGCAAGTATTACAGTATGTTGTCCTGGTGGCGTGAATGATTCAGGAGGGAGAGGAGAATCGCAGTGATGCAATCTGAGCAGGTGAGAGCAGGTGAGCTGCTATGCAGCTGTCAGTGCTGCAGCGGGCGTGTCCTTGAGATGCTGGTATTGTGTTCACATCCCCTCTAGTTTTATCAGCATGTCAGTCCTGGGGCTTCTTGCTCTCCCACACATTCCTCACTCCTGCTCTGCTCTGAATCTTTGTGTCTGACTCCAGCTCAGGCTTCCAGGTCGGGGGCTTGTTGCTGGGTTCAGACAAACAGGAGGAGAATCCGCTGGGAGATTGGAGGAGGAACAAGAGGGAAAGCCCGTCATACTCTCCATTCCACTCTGCACGAGGCATCCCTTTTGGGGCTCTAGCCCCTTCTGGAAAGGCCCGCTATAATTTCCGTATCATCTTTCTCTGCTCCTCAGCCACGCGGTGGTGGAGGTTTCCTGCCGCTGCTAATCTCTAGTTTCTGGTTAGCGTCTCAGCACCTCCACTTCCCATGTAGCCACTTTCTGTAATGAAGTATTCAAAGTAGCTTCTGTCTCCTTCTTGAATGCTGGCTGATTCAATCAGTGAAAAGTTGAGGCCGCAACGTCAGCAGCTGAGACAAAAAAGCAGGACGAGTGAATGGGGATCCGAAAGGGGAGGTGGAGGAGAGCAGGGGCTGGACTCTGCGGGCCCACCTGGGAATCTTGCACATGGTGTCAAGTTCACCTACCTGCAGAACACAAGGCTTTCTGTGGATGTGTTCAGGTGCTTAGGAGTTGGCACAGAGTGGGAAAGCAGGGTTGGGGCTTTGCCAGGGGTGGTAAACAGACTCTAGGGAGCACCTATGACCTCCACTCCTTGGTGTGATCCACCCCACTCGAGTGTGAGCAGGACTCCTTAATGGCTTTCAGCCAGGAGAATGTGGCAAAGGCAATGGCTTTCTCTCCCCAAGTCATCTTGCATTAAAGAACATGTTGCCTTGCTAGCGTACTTGCCCAGGAATTCTTGTTGCTTCATAAAGTGAGCCAATGTGTTGGGGAAGCCCACATGGCAAGTAGCTCCAGGAAGCCTGTTGGAGCTGAAGATGGCCTCTGAGAGCTCAGGGTGGCCCCTAGCTGCTGGCCAGTGAGAAGCTGTGACCCTCAGTCCTTTGGCAACCAGGAAGTGAGCTCTGCCTACTCTAGGGTTCTTGGAAGCAGATTCTTTCCCAATTGAGTCTCCAATGAACACACAGCTCAATGAGTCCTTGAGATGGTTCAGCTGAGCCTGACCCAGACCCACGGAACCTCTGAGACTATAAATAAGTGTTGTCTTTAAGCCGCACATTTTGTAGTAATTTGTTATGCAGTTATACAACAACAGAAAACTCATAGATCAGATAAGTTTGGCAGAATGAGTCAGGGCAAGTAAGAGGAGGGTGTTTGCTGGACCACAGCATCTCAGCCAGGAAAGAAGGGAGTGCGGACACAGAGTGTTTGGCTAATGTGGATCAGGGCAAGCCCCTGCCAGTGAGGTGTATTAGGCTGTTTGCCATTACTGTAATCAAATACCCGAGACTGGGTGTTTTATAAAGTGACGAGGTTTATCAAGCTCATGGATCTGAATGCTGAAGGTGTGCTTTTTGTCAACAGAGGTTTCCAGATTTCTGGCTAACCCTCGAGAGAAGACTGGCAGCGGACTATGCATCTAGAGAACAAAGATGGCCAGCTGGCCTCCAGCATGCTCGAGGTGGAGCTGCATCAGAAATCTGCTCCGGCTTATGCAGGCCCTACAGGGCTGGCACCCGCAGGACTCGCCCACAGCAACCACAGACCTCTGCAGGGGGTCAGCAGGCTGGACCCTTCCAGCTCCTACCCCAGTCGGGCTGCTGGGCAGGACGGTTGGTCTCCCACACACCGGGATTTTGGCTCATTCCTCATGGAGGAGAGGTGAGTTTAGAGTAGTTTTATGTTAGAAATGTGGAATTCACAAATGCTGGGTTCCTGTGAGCACAGTTCTCCCACATTTTTTTGTGTGAAGTATTTCCAAAAATTTAGCTAAAATCTTTTTAGCATTTGATCACTTTCTTAACCTATTTTGAAAGAATGATTCTCCAAAAATATGTTGAAATTAGCTTCAAAAGATATAAAAAAGTAAAGAAGAAAAAGGAGTTTATGGCATGAAGACTTGGCATTAAATATACTATTTAAGATATTCAAAGTATTGTGTGGTCTTGGAAAGCATATATTTTTAGAACATATTTAATTTCTATAAATACAACAAGTAAATGAATATTGGTTTTCAAGTCAGAAAAATCTGGATTTATATAAAATATTTTGATAAACCTTTAAATATTTGCTGATGTAATGACAATAGATATATTTTATGTCAGTGCCCACAAACAAAATTCACCATTTGCAGTTCATACACGTCATTGTAATGACAAAGCATCCTCTGAAGGATTGTCTATGCCTGTGTTGGGACACGTTGCTTACTCCGAAGATCTGGGTACTCTCATCTGTACAGGTGATACTTTCTGCTGAGGGTATCAGAATCCTGATCCATGCAGCATTGAATGTCTCTCTATCATTCAAAAAAAAAGCATCACAGAATGCATGCCGGTGTAGCATAGGTCCTTCCCTTGCTGGGACCTATACACTACCATCTCCCAGGGAGGGGTTACCCAAGAATGTGCTCAGGCTTAGTTCACATTACTGTATCACTTTATGCAGACAGTGAAACTTTGGATTGCTCTTTTTGCCCAAGATGTTTTGGAGATTTCTCTATGATGATGTCTATAGTTTCTTTCTTTCTTTCTTTCTTTCTTTCTTTCTTTCTTTCTTTCTTTCTTTCTTTCTTTCTTTCTTTCTTTCTTTCTTTCTTTCTTCCTTCCTTCCTTCCTTCCTTCCTTCCTTCCTTCCTTCCTTCCTTCCTTCCTTCCTTCCTTTCCTTCTTTCTTTCTTCCTTCCTTCCTTCCTTCCTTCCTTCCTTCCTTCCTTCCTTCCTTTCCTTCTTCCTTCCTTCCTTCCTTCCTTCCTTCCTTCCTTCCTTCCTTCCTTCCTTCCTTCCTTCCTTCCTTTTCTTTCTTTCTTTCTTTCTTTCTTTCTTTCTTTCTTTCTTTCTTTCTTTCTTTCTTCTTTCTTTCTTTCTCTCTCTCTCTCTCTTTCAAAAATGGCTTATATTTTCATTCCATTATCCCATGAACTTTGAAAATATATTTATTTTAATTTTTTATTTATTTGAAAGGTGGTGGGGGTGGGGAGAGGAGAGAGAGAGAGAAATCAATCTTCTATCCTTCCATCCACTGGTTCACTCCCCAGATGCCAAGGTGAAACCAGGAGCCTGGACCTCAATCACAAACCTCAATGCCCTCCACGAGGGTAGTAGGCTGGGTGTTCCACTTGTCCTGGCTAGACTATGCATGCCTGGGTGAAGCTGGGACAATTGCTGGCTGATGCAGGAGTCGCTTTGTATGGCTCTGCTCAATCCACTTGCCTCTTATCCTTACTCCAACCAGGCCAGGAGGACCCAACTGTTGCCAAAAAATGGAAGCCCAGGGCACAAGCTTGTCTAAGCCTCTGTCACCTCATGTCTTTAACATGCCATTAGCTGACCCCAAGGTCATCTGTGCTCTGTTAGAATCACCAGATAGAATATAGGACACCCAGGTAAATTTGAATTTCAGATAGACAATGAATGTTTCAGGGAAAGTACTTACACTAAGTCACTTGTAGTATCACACTCATTAGGAGGGCTACCAATCACAAAAGAAAATATAACAAGCATTGGTGAGAATGTGGGGGAATTCTAACCCCTGCAAACCAACTGTTGTTGGGAATGTAAAAGGGTGTAGCCACTGTGGAAAACAGGATAGTGGTTCCTCAGAAAATTGAGAATAGGAGCTGGCATTGTGGTGTCATGGGTTAAGCTGCTGCCTGCGATGTTGGCATCCCATTTAGGAGCATCCTGGCTGCTTCACTTCCGGTCCAGCTCCCTGCTGATGTGCCTAGGAGAACTGCAGAAGATAGCTCAAGTACTTGGGCCCCTGCCATCCATGTGGGAGACCTGAATGGCCCAGCCCTGGCTGTTGTGGCCATTTGAGGAGTGAACCAGTGGATAGAAGACATCTTTGTCTCTCTGTAACTGCCTTTCAAATAAGTAAATAGATCTTCTAAGAAACTGAAAATAGAATTGCAGTAATCCCCAATATCCCACCACTGGATACCTGAAACTGCAGATAGTACTGAACCCTATGTATTCACTACACATATATACCTATGATAAAATTTAATTTATAAATTAGACACAGGAAGTGATGAATAACTAACAATGGAGAAACTATAACAATATATGTTATTTAAAACTTATGGGCCGGCGCCGTGGCTCAATAGGCTAATCCTCCACCTTGCGGCGCCGGCACACCGGGTTCTAGTCCCGGTCAGGGCGCCGGATTCTGTCCTGGTTGCCCCTCTTCCAGGCCAGCTCTCTGCTATGGCCAGGGAGTGCAGTGGAGGATGGCCCAGGTGCTTGGGCCCTGCACCCCATGGGAGACCAGGAAAAACACCTGATTCCTGGCTCCTGCCTTCGGATCAGCGCGGTGCGCCGGCTGCAGCGCGCCGGCCGCGGCGGCCATTGGAGGGTGAACCAACGGCAAAGGAAGACCTTTCTCTCTCTGTCTCTTTCTCTCACTGTCCACTCTGCCTGTCAAAAAAAAAATTTATAAAAAAAAAATTTATAAAAAACTTATGGGGGCCAGCGCTGTGGCCCAGTGGGTTAAAGCTCTGGCCTGCACAGCCGGCATCCCATATGGGTGCCGATTTGTGTCCTGGCTGCTCCACTTCTTATCCAGCTCCCTGCCATGGCCTGGGAATGCAATAGAAGATGGGCGAAGTGCTTGGGCCCCTGCACCTGCGTGGGAGACCTGAAGAAGCTCCTGGCTCCTGGCTTCGGGTCAGCTCAGCTCTGGCCATTGTGGTCATTTGAGGAGTGAACCAATGGATGGAAGACCTCTCTCTTTCTCTCTGGCTCTACTTCTCTCTGTAACTCGTCTTTCAAACAAACAAAATAAATCTTTCAAAAAACCTTATGAATTCTTTATTTCAGGAATTTTCCATTTAATATTTCTGGACTATTGTTGACTAAAGTAACTGAAATTGTAGAAAGTGAAACTGTGGATAAGGGGAGGACTATTATGCCTTTTGATTCTGCAATTTCACTTCTGGATGTATCCCTCAAAGAACTGAAAATAGGAGCTGTGCTTGGATAGTTTGTGACATTTTCACATTCATGCTGGAGTTTAAATTCCAATGAGATATTGTTATGGGATGGTGCCTCAGGGAGTGATTAAGCCATGAGGATGAAGCCTTCATGAATGGTATCAGCAACCTTATAAAACGGCTGGAGGAGCTAGCGAGGCGTCTTTTTGCCCTTCAGCTTTCCACTGTGTAAGACCCAGTGTTTGTACCTTCTGCCATGTGAAGGCACAGTGAGAAGCCCTTCCCAGGTACCAGGTGCTAGTGCCTTGGTCCTGGAGGTCTCAGGCTCTGGGACTGGAAGAGACTCATTTCTGTTCTTTTCCTGTTATCTAAAGTATTTTGTTATGGCACAAAGTCTTCCTGGTTCTCTGCTCGCTCTCTCATTCTCTTTCCCTAATTAAATACCATATGATTTTGAATCTGAAGTCTCAGAAAAGTTTGAATTAATGTCACTTTCTTATCTTAAAATTATGTACAAGAACTAATAGATATATTTAAATACATTTGGGTGTCAGATTGACAAACTCAAATCACATTTTTTTCCCTTAGTAAATATTGTGTAGGTAGGAAGATTTCTTTCTCATCAGTGGAAAATGAAATTTATTTTCTGTTGTTTCCACAAATCAGGAATTAACTGACTTTAATATTTTCCATTTCAAAATTAGCTAATTACCTTTCAGTTTTTCATTTAGCAATAATATATTTGATTGTGGGTTGGATGGGAAAGCACACTTGAGAGAATATATTGAAAGTAATTAAGATAAATTATTATAAGACAGCTCTTACATCTGTCATGAATTGGTTTCTGTATTTTGTTATTACCACATGAAAATAAATATATTGCTGAAAATTTGGAAATTTATGGGAAAAATGATCCTAACACAATTATTACTAATTCACAATTATTACTAATTGTGTTGATTCATATTCCTTTCTCTTTTTTTCCATATGCAATATATGTTTTTATCTAGCTGTGATCATAATATATAATTTTATTTTGTGGTTCTTTTGAGTAGCAATGTGTGGTTAACAATTCCATCAATGTTGTTAATGTTGTTGAATATTGCTGAAAGCTATTATTTTATATACTTTTAATTCAGGCATAATTTTAGCAAACATGATGTATAGATCTATCAGTTTTGAAAAATGCCTAAAATCATGCAGTTGTCAGTACAGCAAAGATGTAGAACATGTGAAACAACCCTGCACAATTTCTTTCAGTCTCCGCCATTCCCCACCATCAGCTGAAAACTGATCTATATTCTGTTCTTATTCTTTGCCTATTCAAGCATGTTGCATCAATGGAACAGTTGAGTTTTGCTCCACTTAGCATGCCAGTTGTATGTTCTTTTTACTTGCAGATTGGAGTTGTATGAGTATATCACACTTGGATATATCATCCATTCTCCTGTTGAAGGATACTTCAGTTTTCAAGTTTTGGCTGTTATGAATAAAACCACTATATATATTTGCATACAGGTTTTTGTGTGAATACAAGTTCAAATCTCCTTAGGTAAATGCCTAGAAATGGGAAATTTTTAACTGTATAAGCTGTACCAAAGCCTGAAATCTAAAAAAAAAAAAAGTTCCAATAAGAAATGGTAAGAAATGGAACACTAGCAGTGTCTAACCTACAGCAGGTGTCACAGAGAATTTGGGGTTACAAAGTGATAACAATTTAATTTGAAATGGTA